GAAAAACTTTAAAATCCATCTAAACATTTTGGGTAATAAATTGGCGGACTACCCATGAGGGGAGCGGCACCTCCCATATTAATTAAAGACAAAAATTCGTTTATCTGGAAAACTAATGGAACTAAATGCTTCAAATTTCGCACGAAGAACTTAAATATTCATCTGAACATTTTTTGGAGGAAAAAAAACGGTCTTTCATCTGGGGGTCTTGAAGCCCCCACATGAATCAAATAGAAAAATTCGTATATCTGAGAAACTATTAGAGCTAGAATCTTCAAAATTTACATGGAGAACTTTGAAATTCATGTGAACATTTAGAGCATAACGGGCGGACTTTCAATGGGTGGCTTCATGCATCTTGGAAACTCTTATATTATTAAAATTTTTTATAGATAGATAGAAATTGGCGATAGATAGAAACTGGCGAACTTGCAATAATTTGCTTGACATCTTTCATATGTAACATATAATAAATCTGGTATTTATTTATACATATTCCTTTTGGGGTAGCAAAGCACACTGGGTATAGCTAGTAAAAATATAAAAAACTAGAAATATAAAAAACAATAGGTTCTACCGAGATTTGAACTCGGATCGCTGGATTCAAAGTCCAGAGTGCTAACCATTACACCATAGAACCTTGTTGTCGTCGTCTTGACAAATGAGACATAAAAGATTTCAACACAAATATAACAACCAAATTAACATCTTCTTTCTAAATTAGCGACATCTATATGCCAGTTATCACACATAAACTACTGTTAAAGGTTTGTGTCTTGAATAATTTTATGTTGTTGCATTAAACACACAAACACGTATATTACATATCAGGGTTGTAGTTTTTGAATTGGAAATTGCAAATTTTTGCTGAGGCAGCAAATATTTCCAATTTTTGCTGAGGCTCAGCAAAAATTTCCAAAAAACGTTTTTTTTATATAAACTCAGCAAGCTACTGAGAGGTGGGGTATCTCAGCAAAATCGTCCGGTAAGAAATGTACGTGTTTGTGTGTCGATCCAGCAAATTTTTGCTGAGGTCGATTGGCTCAGCAAAAATTTCCATTTTAAAATGGAAATGACGTCATTGAAAATGGAAATGACGCTACGCTGGCGTGGAATTGATGCATTTTCTTATTTTTTGAATGAACATTCTTTTGTGAACTTGTTAAGTGTTGATTATTTTTAATGAAAATTATATAAATTTGAATAATTCAACTACTTATTGTTTGTTTTGCTGCATGGATATTTAATTTGGGGTTGATTATTAGGTGGCACTGGCGGTGAATGCCTTTAATCGACCTCAGGCAATTATTTAAATGCTGGTGTTCTCAATCAAATCGTCGTAACCCTATATAGGGATACTGGTGTTCTCAATAAAGAACGTCCCTATTATTGGGATACTATAGTTAAAATTTTAGCAATAATCGTTATTTGCAATCTATATTTTTGGAAATTCGAATGTTTAGGGGGTAAATTCAAAACAGTTTAAAGCATATTGTCGTTCATTTAAAAAATAAGCGGACAGGTGTCTGGTACTTTTTTCAAATTCGGCCCCTGGTACTTTTTTGCAACCCATGATACAAAAACAGTTTAAAGCATATTGTCGTTCATTTAAAAAATAAGCGGACAGGTGTCTGGTACTTTTTTCAAACTCGCCCCCTTTAGGGAATAAACGGTAAAAACTGTATTTTGGTACTTTTTTGCAACCCATGTATCTTTTAAACCAATGAACATACAAAAAATATTTTTGACTCCTTCATAACCTAACGAAAAAATAAAAATACGAATTTAGTACTTTTTCGATATTCGGACGTTTAAGGGGTGAAAATTGTACCTATTTTTGGCACTTTTTGTATAAAACATTGTTTCCTATGTATTGATTTGTATTAACATGTGAATGAATACTTAATGATGGACTCCTACTACGATATTGCAACTTTTTATAATAAAATATTTATTACTTCAATAGGGAGAAAAAAGTACCAAAAGGGTGAAAAACGGGAAATCTGATTTTATTCAAACTCACTGACCAAATTTTAATAAAATTGGAGAAATTGACAGATTTAGTAACACTAAATATACCAATGGAGAGTTACTTGGAACTCCGGTACAAAGGACTATTTTTTGACACTTTTTCGTTTTTTAACTGGTACTTTTGTGTTTACTATAATGTGATCCTATAATATGATCCTAGAAACCTGATATTAAGAAGTGGAGCCTGGAGTTAATTAAAAACTATAAAAGGGGACTTTTTGGTACTTTTTCGAACTTCAAAAGGTACTTTTTGAATTTCCTATAATATTGAACCTAGAAACATCAAATTAAGAATGTAGAGCTCGAAGTAAGTGAGAACATATAAAAGGGGACTTTTTGGTACTTTTTCGAACTTTAAAAGGTACTTTTTCAATTTTCTATAATATTGAATCTGGAAACATGAAATTTAGCATGTAGAGACCGGAGTAAATGAGAACCCATGAAAGGGGACTTTTTGGCACTTTTTCGTTCTTTAACTGGTACTTTTTGAATTTTCTGTAATATTAAACCTAGAAACATGAAATTAAACATGTAGAGCCCGGAGTAAATTAGAACCTATAAAAGGGGAATTTTTGGTACTTTTTCGTTCTTCAATAGGTACTTTTTGAATTTTCTGTAATATTGAACCTAGAAACATAAAATTAAGAATGTAAAGTAGATGTGTTTTTGGATATGTATATCCACTAAGGATGGATTTTTGGAAATTTGTACATTTAAGAGTAAAAAATGGAATAAACGGGTAAAGCTGGTTTTCTTAATTATCTTACACCATATTAGTGATACAAGAAACATTTTAAATGCACCTGTATCTACTTTTAAAATGAGCAGATGGGTGTCGCGTACTTTTTTGAAATTTGTACTTTTAAGGGGTGAATATGTGTAACATAAGTGATTTTGGTACCTTTTTTGGCCCTTTGCAACTTTTTAACTAATAAACTTAATACAATTTTTGTAAATATTTTGAATATGTCTTCCAAAATTATGAGACACCTGTTTCGTAATTTTTTAAAATTGAGTCCTTTTTGGGTGTAAAAGGGGAGAAAACTGTATTTTTGGTACTTTTTTTTAGCACATTAAGAATACTTTTTCGACTTATTGACGTACGCCTATTAAATTACGTACTAACTCTGTAATATTTATTGAAACAAAATATTTGCAATTTCACTGGGGAAGAAAGTACCAAAAAGGGGAAAACGGGAAATTTATTTATTCAACAATTTAAGCCAATTTTTATAAAATTTGAAAAAAATAGTTAATTTACTCACACAAAATAACCGATTGGTATATTATTTTGGAATTCGGGTACTAAGGCCTATTTCACATAGCCCCCATACAAGTGGCCCCCCGAAAAACTGCTTTAACAGTCATAACTGCTTTAAAAATAAGAGTATAGCAAAAAATTTGTGAGTATCGTTCCATAATTGACCCTACCCCCATATAAGGTCCCCTTCAGAAACGACGCCCATTACTGGCGATGAAAAGTATAGCGATGAAAAGTAAGTTGCCTACGAGCTAAAACCTCTGTAACAAATTTTATGAGGATCATTCCATAATTGACCCTACCTCCATATAGGGTCCCCTTCAGAAAACTACTTTAACGCTCATTACCAAAATCTCTGTACCAAATTTAATGGGGATCGGTCCATAATTGACCCTACCCCCACATAAGGTCCCCTTCAGAAAATTACTTTACGCTTATTACTGTATAAAAAATACGAGCATAGCGATGAAATTCGACAGAAGAAAGTTTCTCACGAGCAACAATTTTTTTTAAGATCGGTCCATAATAGACCCTACCCCCATATCAGAAAATTACACAAACGCTAATTTACTGGTATAAAAGTGCGCGTATAGCGATGCAATTCGATATAAAGCTCATAACTGAATTAAAAATACGACTACAGCGATGAAAATCGAAACAAATAAATGCTATACGAACCGAAATCTATGTATGCACCAAATTTTAAGACAATCGGTCTATAATTAACACAACCGCCCATATACATACATATGTTCATTAGAGTGTCCCGAGGAACAGCCTTTTTAATAATTACATGTAGAAATATTTCTCAATCGATGCGTATTAATGTACTGAACACGAGAAAAATCAGTTCCCTACCATCTATTGAAAATACTGAAATACAATTTTTTCGAAATGGGTCTCAAAAATTCCGTAATTTTGAGCTGATTATGGGAAAAATAATCTTAAATTTTTTGGTCCATTCTAAATAGGAACATTCTTTTACAGCATACGGTTTGATGGTGGGTATATAAGATTCGGCATAGCCGAATATAATACTCTTACCTGTTATCTCTCAAATTCTAAAATATTCAACCTAGAAACATAAATTTGAAAATGCATGGTCCTCACTGAATAATTATCTGTAAGTGGGGACACTGGTTCTTTTCCATTCTTCAAATGGTATTTACCGAATGAGTATTTGCCCTTCTCCCATCTCTACAAATTCGAAAACAATTCTCGAACAAAGATATCTTAAAAATGTATTTTTTAATTTTTATAATGCCTCTACAAAAATTAAGTTATAATGTCAATGACAACATATATAAAAATCTGAATCGGACCATGGGGATCTTTAGAAAATTAACTTCCAGTTTAAAATTTTTGTATTTGATGAACAAAAAGAATTCAAAATTTCGAGCAAAAAATAAAATTTTCGTCGAAAATTGATTTTAAATTTGTTTAATTTGTATGAAAATATACTGTTGATTATTTCACTAAAAAAATATTCTTGAAATGGTCCCATTTTTTATATGTAATCGCTGAGACTATATTCTAATTTTAGTGTTAGTATTAGAAAAATCGAAGATACCTTTTTTTGAGATGTACTTGACTCAAATATGTTTTTAAATTTAATATCCTCATTTAAAAACAACAAAATTTTTTTCTTAATCCCCTAATACCGGGATTTCTAATAAATTCTGATTGGCATCCTTAGTAGGGCAATACATGATATGATAATGACGCCGTTGATAATTTTGATCGGCGCAGGTTTCTGCTGATTGCACTTGTACAAATAAAATACAATTATTCGTTTCATAGTTTTCACAAATATTAAAGTTCTAATTAAAAATTAAGCGGTTAATATTATGGTAAATCAAGATATAACCAATTGGAATTAATAAACAATAGATTTCTAAACATTTGAAGCTTTAAAAACGCCTTATAAAATTTTTCTTATCGCGTTGCTTTATCATCGGCTCTTTTTTGCATCATAATATTTTTTTTTTTGTGTATTTATAGGATTTAACAACAGAAGAAATTAATAATACTGCTGCTGGTGCTGCTGAAGAAAACAATACTACGGTAATAACAACGTCAGCACCTCTAACAGGCAGTGGCGCAGCAACAACGACAACTGCAGTTGATGATTCTGAACTTAATAGCAGCAGTAGTCTTCAAAGAATAAATTCAACGCCCCTACTTCCTCCAAATGCGACAACAACAACAACAACAGATGTGGCACAAAATAATGGTGGTGCCAGCGTTAGTGCTGGTTCATCTGAGTCATCGTCATCAGTCATATCAGCCACCGCCATGGCCGATGATACTTTACATGTCGAAATTTCCGATGCCTTAAGTGAAAAGGATAAAGTTAAATTTACCGTACACACTCGCACCACTCTGCCGGGATTCTCTAAGCCGGACAATAATGTTGTGAGACAGCATGAAGAATTTGTCTGGCTACACGATCGTTTCGAGGAAAATGAAGAATATGCTGGCTATATTGTAAGTAGAAATATTTAGAGTTTTTAGGAGGTATTTTAACGTTTTTGTTTTCAGATACCACCTTGTCCCCCTAGACCAGATTTTGATGCTTCCCGCGAAAAACTACAGCGTTTGGGAGAGGGTGAGGGTAATATGACAAAAGAGGAGTTTAGAAAAATGAAAACTGAATTGGAAGCGTAAGTTGTGTTACAATTTAAAAGCAAATAGAGCTAAGTATGCCTAACGTGACCAGACTATACACAGAGTAGGTGATAGACTAAACAATAGCCTAGACTTTAGACTATATCCTTGACTATGAAGTAGTCTATAAAACAGACTAAACGAATGGCAAACTATTGCATAACCTGTATGATACGACTATAGTCTAACGTTAAATAAACATAAATATCTTTCCTCCCAATAGCGAATATCTTGCTACCTTTAAGAAAACCGTCGCTATGCACGAAGTTTTCCTCAGACGTTTAGCCAGTCATCCCGTCTTTCGCAATGACCAACATTTGAAAGTGTTCTTGGAATATGATCAGGATTTGTGTGCTAAACCCCGTAAAAAGACTGCCATCTTTGGGGGTCTCGTCAAGTCTCTGGGCAAAACCACCGATGAAATACTTTTAGGTGTAACCGTTCACGATGTCAATGATTTCTTCGAAAATGAATTTCAATTTTTAACCGAATACAATGGACATTTGCGTGAGGCCTCATTGCGTACGGAGAAAATGACACAACGTCATAAAGATGTGGGTGAGTGTCATCAGAAAATTTCGAATGCTTTACGGCAATTATCTACCGCCGAAAAGGGTACAATGGAAACATTTTGCGCCAAGACTGCTGATATATTTGAGAAAATTAAGGTAAATTTTTAATGCGGCCAAATAATCAATTATTGTTTGTTTTAATTTGCTTTTTCTATTAGAATCTGGAAGTACGTGTGGCTAGCGATCAGGATTTAAAACTTGGTGATACCTTGCGCTATTATCAGCGCGACAGCGAAGCAGCCAAAGCTTTGCTTATACGTCGTTTACGTTGTTTAGCGGCCTATGAAGCCACTAATCGTAATTTGGAAAAAGTTCGTGCTAAAAATAAAGATATACATGCGGTATGTATTAAATTGTTTATTTTTTATTTATTTTTCCTTTTTCCATTTTGTTTTAATTTCAATTATTATGTGTGTTTTTGTTTATAAAAGGACAATAAAAGGCACTTTGTTTTCTGTTCTGTTAACCTTTCCAAAATTTAAAAAATTTAAGAGTGTAGTGATGATAGAAATACAACACTGAAAAAGTCTATAAACTTCCATCTTACTCAATAGAAGTAGAATGAAATTTGTGTTAAATAGATGATATTTATGTGTATGGCAGAAGAAGAATGCTATTGTGGAAAAGCTATCCGTACTGCCTTGTGCCTTAAAAAACTTTAGGATACTAGTGAACAAGTTAAAAAGTAAACTTGTTACGTTTACTTTAAAGAAGGGGGAATTGTTTACCTGTAACACTTAACAATATTGATATACCTCATACCGATTATGTAACTTACCTTGGAATTCATTTAGACAGGCGACTTATTTGACGCCGGCGTATGGAATCCAAAGAAATTCTGTATGAAATTAAAACCATCTAGTCTGCACTGGCTTATAAACGTCCGATCGAAATTAAGTTTTGACTATAAAGTCATCCTGTATAAAGCCGTCTTAAAACTACTAAGAGAGCACAATCTAATATTCTTAGGATCATGACCGGAGCGTCATGTTACATAAGGAACTAGTATATCTATAAAGATTTAGAAGTATCACAACAGGTTTCGTAGAGCCGATTTAAAACCCCGCTAAGGGTAAACACTATTAGTTTATAATATTTAATTACTTATTGTTAGGCCTTGAGGGATCCAAGGTGGAATCCGGCCCAGGTCCCGGAATTTATCTGTTTGATAGCGACTTATAATTGTCTTATAAACTTCCGAACAAATGCAGCGTCTTTCAAGTGGAGATTTTAGCAATCTCTAGATTGTTTTGTATAATATAAACCAACGTATTACCAGGGGGTTACTACCGACAACTCTTAAAACTTTGAAATGTTACACGTTACATTCTAGGTTGATAACAAGCTGCAGAAGGGACTCTAGAAGTGTTAATCAGGTTATACACACACTCCTCATCTTTCTCCCTCTTATTTTTCAGTCTTCTTTCTATATTCTTTGTTCTTAAAAGGGATCACAATGGAGCCTTTGTAAATATATTTAACAGGGGAATTCTTTTAAAAAAAACTAAATTATTTTTATGCTGTAATTAAGCCGCGTGTTTAGATTTTTTTTTTTTTTGCTAAAAACTGTAAAATTTTTGTTCAGCTATAATAATTTTATGAAAAGGTTGAACTTAATTTATTAGTACTGTTTAATATTCAAACTATATGCTTTAAACAAGTCCTTCTATGTTTTAATAATATTTTGTTTAAATTTATTGTTAAAATTAATATACACTTAATTTTATGTTTCACTTTTATTGCTTTTGAATCAAAACCAAAAAATCTCAAAATTAAATTAATTCAATGCTTTCCTCTACAAAACTAAAAACAAACCCAAAACTCCAATTTGCAGCCTTTGGAAGTTCAAGAGGTATATGGTTTTCTATTGTATTTAAATGTAAAATAAACTAAAACAAATTAAAATTATTGTTAATAACCCCAAACATATTTATGTAATAACAAAACAAAACACAAAACTATATACTTAGATCATACCAGTTAACATTATTATATATTTTAATAAAAAAAAATACATTTATAATTTTTCACTCCCTCCCTACTTATACAAAATGGCATGTTTTAGTTTTTGTGTTGTAATCAAAACCTAGTTAAATTATAAAACTGAAACTTTTGATAATAAAAAGTTTTATTATTTATTTTTCTTTAAAACTCTTTCAACAATAGGCCGAAGCTGCCCAGGCTGAAGCATGTGAAAAATTCGAAACAATGTCGGCTTGTGGCAAGGAAGAGCTAGTGGGCTTTCGTAATCGTCGTGTTCAGGCTTTTAAGAGAAGGTAATTTCTTGTATTCATCAAATTTTACTTTAATAACATTTTTTTGCTTTATTTCTAGTCTAACTGAATTAGCTGATTTGGAAATAAAACATGCCAAAAATCAATATGAATATTTACGTCAGTCCTTATTGGCCTTAAAGGAAATTTAATATTTGTTATTAAAAACATATTTTCATCACTACTATTATTAAAATTTATTATTTTTTTATATTTACATATTAAAATATGTAATGTATATGTATTATCTATCTTAAACTATTGCTCTATCTTTATATAGTATATATCTATCTAACTATCTCTCTATCTTGATCTTTGTTCATTCCACATTGAATGTTGAACATTCAACTCTCTTTAAAGATATTTACAATTTATATTTTTTATTAAAAAATTTTTATTATATTATGAACATCATTATATATTATATTAAAAACAAAGAAACAAAAGCAAAACAACAACAAAAATTTATTTAAAATTATAAATCGCTAATAAAAAAAATCGTATTTGTATTTATGAACATATAAAACTTGTTATTATTTTTCAGCTTTAAACAATAAATAAATAATTAAAGAAACATAATATTTGCATAACACCATAAAAATTAACATTAATTCACTTTTTTGTTATAGAAAAGTAGACTTCTATACTTTATTTTTCTAGCGCGTTTAAGTTATGCTTGGTTGGCATCACTTTTGTCATTAAAAAACATTTAATGTGGCAGCCCTGTGTAAAAGTAATACCAATCCTGGAAAATTGTGATTTTAAATATTTATAAAAATAATGTAGAGATATATGTATATACAGACGGATTATATAGACTATAGTCTATCAAGCCCGACTATATGGTAGTATAGAGTTTCTTTACCAAACTATATAAAAAAAATAAAAAGAATACTGTGCTAAATTTCTAATCAATAAACATTAACAATTACAATAGTACCTGATTTTCCAACCCTGGTATTTACATTAAACATATGGTACAATAATAAGCGGTATAATTAGTAAATAGCATATTTTTAAAGAGGAAAATAAATAAATATTTAGGAAACACTATGCTCTTTAAAAGTGAATCTCTAGAATAAAAAAGTAAAAGTATAATAATTTTAATAATTAAAAGATATGTACAATAGTTTTTGACCATATTATAAGCGTCTGCATGTTAATATCAGTGTTACGATAAAACGCATTTTGTTTTTCAACGTACATAAAACAAAATATTTTAAAATTTTTACGAACTTAAAAAAATGGATCCACAAAAAGCTCTAAACCTTTTAATGGCTTTAAAGCAGTTAAAAGATTTAATGGATTTATCCGATGAGGAGCTTCGAACAAAGGAACGGCGAGTATGGATCAATCCAACTTTGGCTAAGAGAAAAACTGATAATATAGAGGCGCGTCTTTTGGCGGATGTATTATGGGAGGAAACTGGTTATCGTAATTATAGTCCGTTAAACATAGACGATTTTGAAAGAATACATGAAATGGTAAGTTGCACTCGAAATTTTTAAGACATTTTTGACTGTGGGTGATGATTTGTTTACAAGCGAAGTAGTTTATTTAAAGTTATACATAACAAGTAATTACAATGGTAATAAATATTCTGTTTAAACTCATATAATTTATAATTAGAACAAAAAACTTGTCTAGTCTATAGTCAAGCCTATATCTATAGTCCAGTCTATAGTCAAGACTAGAGTCCAGTCTATAGTCAAGACTATAGTCCAGTCTATAGTCAAGACTATAGTCCAGTCTATAGTCAAGACTATAGTCCAGTCTATAGTCAAGACTATAGTCCAGTCTATAGTCAAGACTATAGTCCAGTCTATAGTCAAGACTATAGTCCAGTCTATAGTCAAGACTATAGTCCAGTCTATAGTCAAGACTATAGTCCAGTCTATAGTCAAGACTATAGTCCAGTCTATAGTCAAGACTAGAGTCCAGTCTATAGTCAAGACTATAGTCCAGTCTATAGTTAAGACTATAGTCCAGTCTATAGTCAAGACTAGAGTCCAGTCTATAGTCAAGACTATAGTTCAGTCTATAGTCAAGACTATAGTCCAGTCTATAGTCAAGACAATAGTCCAGTCTATAGTCAAGACTATAGTCCAGTCTATAGTCAATACTATAGTCCAGTCTATAGTCAAGACTATAGTCCAGTCTATAGTCAAGACTATAGTCCAGACTATAGTCCAGTCTATAGTAAAGACTATAGTCCAGTCTATAGTCAAGAATAGTCCAGTCTATAGTCAAGACTATAGTCCAGTCTATAGTCAAGACTATAGCCCAGTCTATAGTTAAGACTATAGTCCAGTCTATAGTCAAGACTCAAGACTATAGTCCAGTCTATAGTCAAGACTATAGTCCAGTCTATAGTCAAGACTATAGTCCAGTCTATAGTCAAGACTATAGTCCAGTCTATAGTCAAGACTATAGTCCAGTCTATAGTCAAGACTAGAGTCCAGTCTATAGTCAAGACTATAGTCCAGTCTATAGTTAAGACTATAGTCCAGTCTATAGTCAAGACTAGAGTCCAGTCTATAGTCAAGACTATAGTTCAGTCTATAGTCAAGACTATAGTTCAGTCTATAGTCAAGACTATAGTCCAGTCTATAGTCAAGACTATAGTCCAGTCTATAGTCAAGACTATAGTCCAGTCTATAGTCAATACTATAGTCCAGTCTATAGTCAAGACTATAGTCCAGTCTATAGTCAAGACTATAGTCCAGACTATAGTCCAGTCTATAGTAAAGACTATAGTCCAGTCTATAGTCAAGAATAGTCCAGTCTATAGTCAAGACTATAGTCCAGTCTATAGTCAAGTCTATAGTTAAGACTATAGTCCAGTCTATAGTCAAGACTATAGTCCAGTTTATAGTCAAGACTATAGTCCAGTCTATAGTCAAGACTATACTCCAGTCTATAGTCAAGACTATATTCCAGTCTATAGTCAAGACTATAGTCCAGTCTATAGTCAAGACTATAGTCCAGTCTATAGTCAAGACATAGTCCAGTTTATAGTTAGGAGTATAGTACAGTCTGAGTATAGTCCATTCTATAGTCAAGACTACTTGTCTAGTCTACAGTAAAGACGGTGTTTAGTGCTATAGTTTAGACTATTACCATGACTATAGTCCAGTATATAGTCAAGACTATGGTCCTGTCTATAGTCAAGACTATAGTCAAGACTACAGTCCTTTCTATAGTCAATACTATATTCCAGTCTACATTCAAGGCTATAGACTTGACTATAGTCTGGTCTATATTCAAGACTCCGTCCGCAGGTCAGGAAAATATAGTCGTGACTTTTAATTTAAATAATTTATAAATTTTTGTAGGTTTATCCCAAAATCAAAAAACAAGACACCGTTATGAGAGTTGCTATTACCGCCCGCATTCGATTGGCAATTACTCTACGTTATTTAGCTACCGGGGATTCATTGAGGGCATTGGAAGTTATTAGTCATATTTCAAGAAAAACCATGAGTCAATTTCTGCCCGAAGTGTTGAGAGCGATAATAGAATGTTTACAAAGTAAATATTTAAAGGTACAATACATCATATCAGAATCTAAATAGTTTGTGAATTATAATTTATTTTATTTAATCTTCAGCTACCCTCTACTAAAAGCGAGTGGCTTGAGGTGGCCAATGAATTTGAACATTTATGGCAATTTCCACACACCTTAGGAGCAATAGACGGAAAACATATCCGCATTAAAACAACTGGACAATCCACTCCTGAATATTTCAATAATAAAGGATATTGCAGCATTGTACTCTTTGCTCTAGTCGATGCCCATAGTAAATTTTTATATGTTGATGTTAGTAAAGGTGGACGTGATTTCGATGATGCCGTTTTTAAAAATTCAACTCTAAATAAATGGCTGAAAGAAGAAAAGTTAAAAGTACCTGCAGATAAAGAACTAAAAGGACAATTAGTCAAAACTCCCTACTATTTTATAGGCGATGATATTTTTGTCTTGGAACGCCATGTTATGAAGCCTTATAACAGTAATTCAAGTTTATTAAATTCACAACAAGTTTTCAATGAGAGGTTACGGCATGCTATGACGTCAGTTGATATAGCATTTAGTAAGCTGGCAGCTAGGTTTCGCATTTTGTGCCGCCCTATTGAAGTAAGCATAGATACTTGCGGTTCATTGGTGAAAGCATGCTGTTTACTGCATAATTATTTATCTAAGGATTTGACAGAACCATATCCATTTGAGATAACAACAGCAGAACTACCAGAAACCATGTCCTCTTTACCGCCACAGTGTCATGAACGTGTGAAAAACTCCAAAGAAGTAAGAGAAAATATACGAAAATATCTCCTTACTGAGGAAGGTGCTTTCAATGATGAATAATATAATTATTTGAAATAAAACATTTGTTTAAATTTTTATATACTTGCTCTAGTACTAGTACTAAAATGAATCCCAGGTTTTATTTGTAAATAAGAAAAAGCAAAATAATAAATTACAAAGAAATCACTTTAGTACTAGTACATACAGAGCTTTTATAAGTATTTTATATTTTCCATTTTTTTCATATCCTTTTTGTGGTTTTTATTTAAACATACATACGAAATTATTTATGCTGCCTTTAAAAATGTTTAAAAATAACATAAATGAACTCATTTTTTTTATACTATTTAAATATAATAAAAGAAATTAAAAAAAAATAACTAAAGATACTTAACTTAATAAGTAAACTAGGATTAACAAGTTCTATAAAGAAATTATCATTTAAAAACTAATCGTGTAGTAACAAAACAATAATTCAAATTGTTGTTTTTTTGAGTCAATCTCATATTAAAGCATTGCTTAATATAAATTAAAAAGAAAAGTATAATTTTATAACCAAATGAAAAAGAAATATTGCTAAAAAAAACTAGATTTCCATATAAATATGTATATAGCTTTAAAAAGTGGCTTAAATAATTACTAATATTTACAAACTACAACTGTTTTTTTTTTAAACATCTGATGTAAACATCATTTTGTATTAGAGCAGATTTTTAATCATCAATTAATATCGGTTCATCTAAAGAGCTGTCACTTAAAGTCACACTCATTGGAGTAGTGTTATTATTATTTTTAGACGTTCCTGTAGTACCACTAGGAGTCTTTGTTTTACGTACAAGCAGCGATTTTTGATGCTAAAAAGATGAATTAAAAAAAATGAGTAAATTTCTAAGAATTTTCTTTTATAGAAAATTTTTGACAAATCCTTCATATAGGAAATTTTCACAAAATTCATTTTTATAGGAAAATTTCGGAAAATTCCCTTTTTATAGAAAATTTTCGGACAATTCCCTTTTTATAATTTTCCGAAAATTTCCTATAAAAAGGGAATTTTCCGAAAATTTCCTATAAAAAGGGAATTTTCCGAAAATTTCCTATAAAAAGGGAATTTTCCGAAAATTTCCTATAAAAAGGGAATTTTCCGAAAATTTCCTATAAAAAGGGAATTTTCCGAAAATTTCCTATAAAAAGGGAATTTTCCGAAAATGTACCTTTTTATAGGAAAATATCATAAATTTCCCTTTTTTATAAGAAATTTTGAAAAATTTCCCATTGTTACAGGACATTTTCAAAAAATTCCCTTTTTTATAAGAAATATTCAAAAAGTTCCCTTTTTTATAGGACATTTTAAAAAAAATCCTTTTTTATTGGAACATTTTCGAAAATGTTCATTTTTTCATAGGAATCCATCGAAAAATTCCCTTTTTTATAGTATTTTATCGAAAAATTCCCTTTATTTATAGGAATTTATCAAAAAATTCCTTTTTTTCATAGGAATTTATCAAAAAAATTCCCTTTTTTTATAGAAATTTATCGAAAAATTCTTTCTTTTAGGATATTTTAGAAAAAATTCCCTCTTTATATAAAATCTGAATTTGTAATAAGTTTGAAACTTACATTTTGCATTTGTACAGCCTTGCTAGCGGCCACAAACTGCCATACTGCAGCTGCATTTTGTCCATCCTTTCCAGTTTTACTAATATATCTAGAAAATCCATAAAAACGAAATTAAAATCTCTCTCTTTTTGAAATCTTAAAAACAATAAAAACTTACTTATTAAGATAATTATTGACAGCTGTCAAACCTTGTAACTTCAATATACCTACAGAAGGTACTTTAACATAAAATTCATCGGCTACACGTTTAGCAACAAACTTCTGATTACAATGAGTAGCAGACACAATATAGCCGTATTGTATGTGAGAGGGTGGTGATGGTACTGTTGGTACATCATCATTCAAATCATTGATTACAATTGATTTGGGAGTATTTGTAAACGTTGGTGAATTCTTATCGCTATTGTGGGGTTTCTGTGGAGAACCAAATGATTGTACTTTAGTTATGGTTAAAGTGTTGGTGGGATTCAATGAAGTTGTTTCTGTAGAAGATGGGGTGGTTACGGTTTTAATTGCTGTGCTGGTTGTTGAAGATGATACTGTACATGTAGAAGAGGGGGTAATCGAAATCGGTGAAGATGCTGGAGTTATAATTGTTGATGTTAACGAAATTGCATTAGAGTTTGCTGGAGTTATGGTGGCTTTTATTGCAGGCAATATTTGTAGGGGCATTGTTGGTGAAGCAGCTGGTGATGCTATTGGTGTTTTGTTTGAAGTAACACTTATGGCTGGTTTATTTAACATTTCCTGTACTTGTTGCACGGTTAAAGTTGAAGGTGAAGCTGATGTCGGTTGATTTGTTGACACTATAGCCGAGGTGGATAGGGGTTTAGCTGATGTTTGTGTGGCTGCTGCAGAAGAACTAATTATTTTCTGTACTTTAAGCGACACAGACGATCGTCTAAAAGGGAAAGGATTTGAATTATCATCGGTTGGAGAGCAGGAAGTATTATTTGTTTTTGGTGCTATGGGTCTAGGTGTTGAAAATGTTGGTATAATATCTGGTTGTTTTGTACAAAGCATAGAATTAATCAATGTTCTTTTATTGGACACAGTAACTGGTGGACTGTTTGATGTTCTTTTGATAGAACCAGTAGCTGGACTGTTTAATGTTCTTTTGTTGGATATAGTTACCGTATTTGTGCTGTTAGTGACAGCTATTGTAGTTGTATTAAAACGTGTGGGTAATTTAATATTTTTATAAACAGGAACTGTGGAAAGATTTGTTGGCGAAACTGTAGTTGACATAAGTTGTTGTCTAATAAGAGAATTTGTTGTATTGGTAACAGTTTTATTATTTGTTATTGGCAAAGTTGTTGTGTTTGTGGTTTCAGTTGCAGCTGCTGCAGATTTACTAGGTTTTATAAGAATCGAGGCTGTCGGTTCATCACCATCATCCATAAAATTAACATCAAATACAATAGGTGCCTTAGGTTTTGCTGCAGTGGTAGATGTGTTAGGTGTAGCGGTTGTGTTTGTTTCCATAGCCTGTTGTAGAGCATTTGTTTCTATATGGCGTAGTTTTGAAATTTTTGTTGATCCCACAGTTGTCACAACTTCGGGAGTTAACATGGGCGGAGTAGTTATTTCCTCGCTTACTGACAAGGGATTTATTTGTATATCTTCAGCATTTTCAGGTAATATCTTTTTAATAACCGCATCGACAGCTAAATTTTCCGACATTTTATCATATTTATTCGAGCAAAACAATGAAATGCGCCTGCGTTTTATGGCTCCCGCTTCTAAGGATTGCCTGGTTATATTCATTGTCTTTTTATTGTTAAATTCATTTGCCTGTGATGTTAAAGTTGTGGAAACTGTTGTTGTTGGGTTGTTAATAGTGTTAGTTGACGCTGTTGTTACTATAGTTGTAGCGGCTGGAGTTGAAGGACTGGAGGATGTTATAAAGATGGTAGAACTATATGGAGCTTCTGGTGGTGCTGTCTTAATGCCAGTTATGACAGCATTTGTAGGCAAATTAATAATAGGAGTTGTTGGTGTTACCTCCAGCGTGGGTGGTGTGGCTGGTGTTATTCCAGTTATTATGGTATTTGGTGGCAAAGTTAATATAGGCAAGGGTTTGTTTGTTGCCGACATTGCCGGTACATTTATAACAACTGGAGCCGAGGTGTTTGTTGGGTTCAAGGGTTTTATAATGGTATTTGTATTTGGCACTTTTAATAAAGACTGTGTGGATGTGGCGTGCAGTGGAGTGTCCATGCTTACAGCTTGAGATGTTACAATAGATTGAATGGCTGGTCCAGCAGTTATGTTATTGATTTGTGCGGTTAAACTATTAAGATTATCAATTCTACTAGAGTTTCTCACCATACTGGGAATACTTTCTATATTTTGCTCTGAGTCATCTTCTATTATCATACAATCTTCATCGTCTTCTTCCTCAGTATTGGGATTAACTTCTTGATTAATATTATTGGCCGTTTTAGCAGTTGTGGCTATAATTTCCTTATTAACGTCGTTAGTTTGTAAAGAAATTGTTGTGCCTGTTGCGTTCGACAATAGTGGTTCAGCGGCATTTGTATTTATTACTCCGTTTATATTAACATTCATCTCGAATTGTGTCTTTCCTTTAAGATGTATTAACCAAAATGCTTTAGTCTTCTCTTCCGGCTTCTTTACGATATTGTGTTGCAATTGATATAGCTCTCTCAACATCATTTGACCATCTACACTTTGCAACAGTATTAATGTGGGCGATTTCATATCCATAGTTAAAGGACCAAAATAGATCTTTCTACCCGACTTGGGTGTAACAAAAGCATCGAAGGGAGCATTTTGAAAGAATTGTAATTTAACAATTTTACTCTTTTGCCTGGCAAAGTTTATGACCTTTTGTATACGATCCAGCGAAACAAGATCACGAAAATCTGGTACAAATATATGTGAGAAATCATTATGTAAATCGAGTACCAACCATTTGTGATCCAATTTGTGTAGTTCCGGCAAAAAGATTTCATTAAGATCACTTTGTGTTACACTGCGAAATTCGATGTTGGAACTCATTTTACTGTATGAATCCATTTTTAGCAAATTATTCGATTGTGCCATATCGACTTTACGTTTGCGTGAGTTTATCTTAGCGATTATTTTGCCCGGCTCTATGTCATTTTGTTTGTTGGCTTTTGGTGTTAGATCTATAGAATTTTGGGCGGGCACTTGTTCTGGGGTCAAGATTTGTGGCGTTATGGGTTTCGGTTGTTGCTGCAGTTGTGTCAGTAAAGTTGTATTTTGATTTAATAATTGCTGTGGTGTTGCTGCTGTTGTTGGGGGTGTGTGTTGCACCGTGGTTATTCTACGTGTAGGCATGATCTGTGCTATTTTTGGTGCGATTTGTGGTTGTTGTGTTACTGCCGTTGCCGTTGGTTTAGTAATTTTTGTTGCTTTCATTTGCGAGCTTGTGCTCGACCATTGATTTGTTACTTTCTCTTTTTTCTTTTGTTCCTTTTGTCTCTGCTTGACCAGCAGCGAACATAAAACATTGATTTTTTTCGTTAAAGAAGGATGAGTTTCTGGTGTAGGTTTATTGCAAGCCATGGTGGGATCAGATTTTAAGAAACCCTTAACCACCCAATGTGAATCTTTACCCTGCATTACCACCGCTAATTTTTCGGTTTCTTTGTTGCGGAATTTCTGCAACAGCATTTTGCCCATTAAAGGCATTTTATCCGGCTTTAAAGCGGTAATATTTACAATACCCATGGCACCCACAATCAAAGGCATCATATTACGTATGGTTACCACAAAAAATGTGTCATCTTTCATTTTCACCTGCCAGACATAGGCGAAACCTTCGCAAAATGCATCT